CATCTGGGGCGATCGAAGGGTTAATTGTGTGCTGTTTCACATTATGTGCTCTGTGTGCTTTCAACTGTAAGCACACTGCCAGGGGCGGACTGACCATTTGGAAACTTGGGCACTGCCCGAGGGCCCGGGTCAGTAGGGGGCCCCATGAGATGCCCCTGGTACCTTTTTCATAGGCTTTTTTGAGTTTGGGCAAGGACACAGGGGCCCCATGATCCCCTATTGCCCGGGGGCCCCATGAGTTGTCAGTCCGCCCCTGCACACTGCTTTGTATGGCTGTGCTATGCAGAGCCATACAAAGCAGTGTGCTGGAGCTGACAGTGGAGAAATCTGTATTGTTTACATACAGTTCTCTTCCCGTCGGTAATACTCAGCGATCACCGGGTGCCATCGAGTAATCACCGGCCGGGACTCGGTGATTGACAGCCGAGGCCACGAATGGCAGTGCAGGGTAGAGGGCGTGCAGCTCATGCACGCACCCTACCCAGAACTGCAAAATAATGTGTATATGTGATTTTGCGCACCCATGCCACCCTGTAGCAGTATTTCTGCTATAGGGCGGACGTGAAGCAGTTAAATGAAAATCATACGATCTGGTATGGTACGAGAAACATTTTCATGCTTGTCCCTTCTAATAATTTCAGATGAAAGCTGTGTACTAACAATCAGATTATTGTGCGATCGCCTCGAAAGCAGTTTTATTTTTCGTATGATTTTCTGATCGTGTACACTATGCTTCCGGCTAGAAACAGAAAGTGAAACCTTCTCAGTGATGACTCACAGGTCACCTAAAGCCTTTCATCTTCTCTTACAGCTTCCCGGAAAGGCTTCATCTGAAGTCTGCAGAGACACCGAGCATGAGGGAGCCGGTGAAATAAAAGCTTGCCCACTCATTGAGGATCCAAAGGGCTGATCTATTAAGGGGCTCATCTATCGAGGATCTGATCTATTGAAGATCTGTCCTGCTGAGGATCTGGTCTATTGAAGATCTGTCCTTCTGAGGATCTGGTCTATTGAAGATGTGTCCTTCTGAGGATCTGGTCTATTGAAGATCTGTCCTTCTGAGGATCTGGTCTATTGAAGAACTGTCCTTCTGAGGATCTGGTCTCTGCCTTGCTGAGTTTTCTCTGCACTACGGCACAACAGGTAAGTCACACATGCTCACCGGCCACTTTATTAGGTACACCTTGCTAGTGCCAAGAAAATCTCCCCCACACCATTACACCACCACCACCACCAGCCTGAACCATTGATACAAGGCAGGATGGATCCATGCTTTCGCGTTGCTTATGTTAACTTCTGACCATACCATCTGAATGTTGCAGCAACCAGTCTACCCATTCTCCTCTGGCAACAAGGCATTTTCATCCACACAACTGCCCCTCACTGGATATTTCCTCTTTTTTGGACCATTCTCTGTAAACCCTAGAGATGGTTGTGCGTTAAAATCCCAGTAGATCAGCAGTTTTTGAAATACTCAGACCAGCCCGTCTGGCACCAACAACACAGGCCATGTTCAAAGTCACTTAAATCCCCTTTCTTCCTCATTCTAATGCTGGGTTTGAACATCAGCAAGTCGTCTTTACCACCTGTAATTGCCTAAATGCATTGAGTTGCTGCCATGTGATTGGCTGATTAGCAATTTGTGTAACCAAGCATTTGAACAGGTGTACCTAATAAAGTGGTTGGTGATTGTATAAAACACAAGCCCTATTTTATCATTTAATGTTTCCAAAACTCCTGCATGTAGCTAGAGAGCTGAAAAAACACGTCTTTAGGAAGCAGATTCTCCACTGTCCCAAGTCAGCTTGGTTCAGAGCCATCAAAGACATGCTGGTAGGTTAATTGATTCCTGTCCAAATTGGCCGTAGTATGTGTATGTATGAATGTAAGTTAGAGACCTTAGATTGTACGCCCCTTGAGGGTTAGGAACTGATGTGAATGTACAATATATATGTAAAGTGCTGTGTAAATTGACAGCGCTATATAAGTACCTGAAATAAATTTAAATTTTTTTTTTAAATAAATCAATGAGCGCACCAGCCACCCGATGTGACTTCTGCAGTACCGTTTATAAAAGGCAACTGACTAACCCCCGGTTCACATCTATGCGGCCGTGTTTTGCACGGGCCCGTGACACACAGGGAAAGAAGTCACTGCACTTCTTCCGAAAACGCAGCCCGCACGGGAACCTTGGTTCCCAGTATGGTTGCAGTTTCCAGTGCGGGCGGCGTGCCATTTGAATTAATGGCACCCGCCCGCGGGTCCGCATTTCTTTTGTGCGGGTGGTGCTGATGCACGGATTTTCGTGCAGATCCGCAGCGGCACCACCCACACAGGTGTGAATCTAGGGTAAATAAGCATTTACCACTTTGGCGTTATTAGACGTATGGCGGTACAAAATCGGTTAAAGAGACAAGTGTTTCTAAAGGCCTCATGGCACTGAGATCCAATGTGTGGTTGGTCTCAGAGGCTAAGTGGAGTGGTGTCACCACCCCCTCCATCATGTAAGAATAGCCTAGGAAGTCAACGTAAGTCCCATGTTCGGAAATACTCCGAAGCACTATGCAATTTGCAGTGCAGGCTCGTAATGTGAACACAAAATGGGATGGGGGCACGTTAGAAAGACACTGTCACTTTGCCTATTTCTCACTAAGCCCCACTTTCTTATCTCCACTATGTCATGGCTACCCCTCAACATCACATATTAGAAGAAAGGGTATGCAATGTAATGCAGGCCATACATGGGTTGAATTTCAAACAAATTTTCTTTACAAAATTGGAAATTTTGTGCGTTTTATGAACCGATGGTGCCACCATTGATTTTGAAATTCAATCAACCAAGCCTTTAAAGCGGTGTTCCAGTTGATTAATAAAAAAATAAAAGTCAGCAGCTACAAAAACTGTAGCTGCTGACTTTTAAAACACAGACACTTACCTGTCCCTCGGTCCAACGGTGTTCTCACCACATCTGGTTTCTCCGGCCGTCTCCTCTCCCCGGCATCTTCAGTGTGGCCACCTGGCTCTGACATCTTGAGGCTTCACAGCCGAGTGCGCATGCGCGAGTAGGGCTGCACTTTGTGAATGGTCCTGTAGTCTTCTGGGACCTGTCACGTGTCCTGGAAGACTACGGGGAGGGAGGACACTTTCCACTTCCGATTGCCTTAGGCGATCACAGCGGTGGGAGCGGGTACCTGTCAAATTTGGGTACCCACTCCCCAAAAGGTGCCAATCGTTAATGGGAATCGGGGGACAAAGGCTTAAAGCAGAAATTCCCCTTTTGGGTGGAGATCCGCTTTAATTCCACCTCATGTTGCTACAGAAAATAATTTTCGTGGCCAAGAATTCTTTTCTTTCCAGGTCAGCCCACGCTCATTTCTCTTTCAATTAATTTTTTGCATGATTCTCCCATCATTGATTAGAAATTCGTTTGTTTTTTCAAAAAATTTCCAACATGCACAATCACTCAAATTCGATAGTCGCTCAAAAATCGTCCGTTTCTGTGGCCCACTAATGGTGCAAAATTCGAACGAAAATTCTTAGAAAAGAATTTCGAAAGAAAATTTCTTTTGGAATTTGACCCATGTGTGGCCGGCTTAACTTCTGCTCACAAAATTGAGGCACAACAGTCCAACATTTGACATTTGATTTTTATATAAGTCGTATATAAAAAAATACAGCATCTGAATGCCAAAACATACAGTTAGGTCCATTTAAGAGCTGTAATTCCTAAACCCTTCCTCCAATTTGGATGTACATACCCTCAAATTAACCCTGAGAGTGTGCACTTTCAGCCCATATCCATTATATAACTACAGCTTGAATATGTTTTGGTAAATACCTGAAAAAAAACTAGAATTGTGCCTGTGTCCAAATATATATGGACCGAACTGTATATACTGAAACAAACAGAGCAAGCTGGATCAGTGTCCAAAGCTGCAGGCCACCAATAGGTTACTTAGCTCCTTCATTTAATGAATAACTTGTATAATACAAAGTGACTTTTACGACCTGTGCTGGATCTTCTGAAAACTGCTTGGTTTGAGTTGGAATAATCCTTTTAAAAAACAAGTTCTTTAATTTTTTTTTTCATTTTTTTCTCTTAGATGACAGATCCTTTTAATTAAAAAATAATTAATACTCGTGAGCCACTAGAAAGGTGCTTATTTACATAAAAAATATAATATAGTGTAATTTAGTGTATTATATAATTATATTAGATCGCAGGATAATTCGTTCACCCTCTCTAGGTGTGTATCAGTTGACAATATATTCCAATATAGTACCGCTACATCTCCCAGAGGAAGCTACAAGTCCCTGTAGCGCAACGCATAGGGGAGGGGCGGTGACGTCCTCACGCATCCACAGAGGAACGGCGAGTATACACATTGAGGGCAGACACACCTACAAGGCTGACCCTATCGTGGTCTGGATACATTTTATACAAAGCGCAATTGTATCTTTAACAATGTGAGTGTAAAATCAGCGCACATTAAAACATCTTTAATCCCGGATAGACACACTATGTTTCTTTTCCCTTCTTTTCATGTTCCATCTATGGAGGATAAAGTCAAGCAGCTAGCTGAGAATGATCTAATGAAACGGCTGTGCTGAGGAGAGAGAGGCTCACGCTGTTAACACAGATTCATGGTGCAGCTTTGTTTGAATATTATTATTTAATCCATCACAGAGGAGGAATATCTTGTGTAGTATATTGAATGCTGTACCCATTTGGGTGATTAACACTGTATTACAGAGAAGGAAAAATATTTTTTCTTCCCACATATATTTTAGCACTAATGGTGCAACTTTGTTTGAACATTATTATTTAACCCATCACAGAGGAGGAACATTTTGTGGTATATTGTATACTGTATTCATTTGGGTGATTACAGAAAGGAATTTTTTCCACATATATTTTAGCACTAATGAATGGATTTTATTTTTTGATGATTTTGTGGTATATATAGATCCTTTTAATACATTCCCATTTTGTGTGTAGGATGTTGAGTATCGTTTTCCTCCCAGAGGATGTTCTTCTGGAGATTTTGTTTTTGGTTCCACCTCTGGACTTGATCCTTCGCTGCCGGCTGGTCTGTAGGCAGTGGAGGGACGTCATTGACTCCTCGACTCTGTGGAAGATGATATGTCATAGGATGGGACTCATCCCCAAAGACTGGAAACAACAGCCAAAAGACTGGAAGAAGTATTACTATCTCTGCAGCCACAGACGTAATTTACTGAAAAATACTTGTGCAAAAGGTGAGACACATAGGCACGTTAGTAACGTAGTTATATGGGGGGCAGTACTAGGAGGCAATCAGATGTGCTGTATGCATCTCCTAGATTGTAAGCTCCAAGGAGCAGGACCCTCCTAACCCTCTTGTATTGAACTGTATTGTCTCCCATTATATTGTAAAGCGCTGAGCAAACTGTTGTTTATATAAATCCTATATTATAATAATAATATGTGCTGCCCCTCCTTTACTTTGTCCATTCCCAGGCTAGAAGCAGGGAGATCACCAAACTCTTTTGGTTAAAGGGTATGTAAACCCAAAATCTATTTTGAGTGATTTTGCATCATGCCTCATTCTATATCGTTTTCTTAAAAAAATCATTTTTGTGATTATTTAGTAAAGTTTCTTATTTGGAGATCCTGCAAATGCCAACAATGTCTGTTTGCAGGCTGACAATGCTAAGCCACTTCTAGTAGCTTTTGGGCTTACATGCACTAGTAGAGAAAAGTCACTAACCTGGATGTAAACCACAGAGCTAGATGGAGAGCATTACTAATCCTTGGTCAGATAATACAAATCCAATATAGGTATTTATTCTGTGTAACCAAACGCAACCACAGTCTTACTTATTTTTTATTTATTATGTAGTCAGGCTGAAAAAAATAAAATGGAGAAAAACATTTTTTTTTTGTTACTATGTGTGTGCTTAACAGTGCACTAAATTGCTTTGAGCCAGCAGCATGCTGGAGAGTCAGACGTCTGTGCTCACATATAGTCCTGCAGTCTGGGTCCACAGCAGTACAACACGCCCCCTTCACAGAGCTCCAATCAACAACACTGTTCAGGGAGCATAAGTCTTGTTGATTGGATTACTGTGCAGGGGGCGTGTCAGACTACTGCACCCTGTGTGAGAGCAGCAGTCTGGCTTTCCAGCATGCAGCTCGCACAGGAATATATACAGTTGCAAGAAAAAGTATGTGAACCCCTTGGGATTACGTGGAGTTTTGCATGAATTGGGCATAAAATGTGCTCTGAACGTCATTTAAGTCACAACAATAGAAGAACACAGTCTGCTGAACATAATACTACACAAACATTAGATGTCGCCATGGTTTAATTGCACATAACATGTAAACATTCACAGTGCAGGGAGGAAAAAGTATGTGAGGCCCTAGCTTAATGACTTCTCCCAGAGCTAATTGGAGCCAGGAGTGAGCCAACCTTGACTCCAATCAGTGGGATGATATTGGATGTGTTGCTGACAGCTTTTCTGCCCTTAAAAAAAACACACACCTGTTTTGGGTTTACTGGTTTCAAGAAGCACTGTCTGATGTGAACCATGCCTCGCAGAAAAGAGCTCTCAGAAGACCTACGATCAAGAATTGTTGACTTGCATGAAGCTGGAAAGGGTTACAAAAGTATCTCCAAAAGCCTTGATGTTCATGTGTCCACGGTAAGACAGACTGTCTACAAATGGAGAAAGTTTAGCACTGTTGCTACTCTCCCTAGGCATGGTCGTCCTGTAAAAATGACTGCAAGAGCACAGCGCAGAATGCTGCATGAAGTAAAGAAGAATCCCAGAGTGTCAGCTAAAGACCTACAGAAATCTCTGGCACATGCTAACATTTTTGTTGACACATCTACAATAAGGAAAACATTAAACAAGAATGGAGTACATGGGAGGACACCACGGAGGAAGCCATTGCTGTCCAAAAAGAATATTGCAGCACGTTTGACGTTTGCAAAAGAGCACCTGGATGTTCCACAGCACTACTGGCAAAATATACTGTGGACAGATGAAACCAAGATTGAGTTGTTTGGGAAGAACACACAACACTATGTGTGGAGAAAAAAAGGCACAGCACACCAACATCAAAACCTCATCCCCACTGTAAAACATGGCGGAGGGAGCATCATGGTTTGGGGCTGCTTTGCTGCCTCAGGGCCTGGACGGATTGTTGTCATTGATGGGAAAATGAATTCCAGAGTTTATCAAGACATTTTGCAGGAAAACGTACGACCATCTGCCTGCCAACTGAAGCTCCGCAGAGGATGGGTGATGTAACAGGACAATGACCCAAAGCATACAAGTAATTCAACAAAACAATGGCTGCAACAGCACAGAATACGCCTTCTGGAGTGGCCCAGTCAGAGTCCTGACCTCAACCCGATTGAAATGCTGTGGCATGACCTTAAGAGAGCGATTCACACCAGACATCCCAAGAATATTGCTACACTGAAACAGTTTTGTGAAGAGGAGTGGTCCAAAATGACTCCAGATCGTTGTGCAGGTCTGATCTGCAACTACAGGAAACGTTTGGTTGAGGTTATTGCTGCCAAAGGAGGGTCAACCAGTTATAAAGTCCAAAGGTTCACATACTTTTTCCTCCCTGCACTGTGAATGTTTATATGTTATGTGCAATTACACCATGGCAACATCTAATGTTTGTGTAGTATTATGTTCAGCAGACTGTGTTCTTCTATTGTTGTGACTTAGATGACGTTCAGAGCACATTTTATGCCCAATTCATGCAAAACTCCATGCAATCCAAGGGGTTCACATACTTTTTCTTGCAACTGTGTGTGTATGTATATATATAGCAGCACAGTGGCTAAATGGTTAGCACTTCTGCCTGGCAGTACTGGGGTTTTTGGTTCAAATCCCAACCACGGCACCACCTGCCTGGATTTTGCATGTTCTCCCTGTGCGAGTTTCCTCTAGGTACTCCAGTTTCCTCCTACACTCCAAAGACAGGGTAGTAGGTTAATTGACTCCTGTTTAGATTGGCCCTAGTATGTGTATGTATGAATGTAAGTTAGGGACCTTAGATTGTACACCCCTTGAGGGTTAGGGACTGATGTGAATGTACAATATATATGTAAAGTGCTGCATAAATTGACGGTGCTATATAAGCACCTGAAATAAAATAATATATATATATTTACACACACACACCCCTATGGATAAGGAGATAGCACCAGTCCTCCTGTATGGGGCCCAGGCAGCAGGGTTAATAGGATATAGGGTGGGGGGAGGGTGGTGAGCGGCATGGTGGTGATGGGTGTGTCAATTACTGAAACTGATCCCCTGTATGGTTCTCTCTGCAGCAGCTGAAAGCTGGCTTCTTCTCCTCTCCCTCCCGTTGGCTTTCAGCTGCTGCAGAGAGAGCCATACAGGGGATCGGTTCCAGTAATCGACCCTCCCGCTGCACCCATCACCCTCCCTGTGTACAATACATTTTCCCCCAGCTGTCCTGAACCCCCCATGTGCCCCCACCCCTGGCAGTGCTGCCAGCTTCCCTCCTCTCCTTCCCACCTGCAGCTGCCATCACACAATCGGATCCTTCCGGATGGAAAGTGGGGGAAGGTTCCAATAAATATATCACATTTACCAGCCCCTTCCTTTCCTGAATTAACACAATGGGGTTGATTTACCAAAGACAAATAGACTGTGCACTTTGCAAAGCGCAGTTGCACTCTGCAGAAGTAGTTGCTCCAGAACTTAGTAAATAAGCAGAAGTTCTACTGATATCCGTCATGCAATCACATGCAAGCAACAAAGCTGTTGCAGCATTTACGAAGCTCTGGAGCAACTGCACTTGCAGAGTTCAACTGCACTTTGCAAAGTGCAAGGTCTATTTACCTTTAGTAAATCAACTCCAAAGAAAGATCGATATCAATCACTCTCTGTGTTCATTCATAACTGAAGCATAGTAAACCGTGCTTTTGTTTGGGAAGTGGGGTCCTGTCATGTTAGCTGTATGGGGCCCCGTGGTTTCTAACAGCAGCCCTGTGTGTATATATATATATATATATATATATATATATATATATATGTATATATATATATATATATATATATATATATATATATATATATATATATATATATATGTGTGTCAAAAAGGTGGACAGCACAGACTGTGTATCCAGACTCCAATTTCCCATTCTCCCCATGCTGTATCATACCAATGAGTCACCACACTCCCAAAGGTTTCTTGGTTAAAGTTCATGTAAACCCTCCCCTTGTAATACTGCTCATACAATTTAAAAGAGAAATGAAAGGCAAAACATTTGTGCATAGATATACAAAAAAAAATACAAACATTCTAAACACCTTTTTTTCTCCCTTTCTATAAGTGTTTCCATACCCTCTGTTCTCAGCTGCATAAGGAGATCAAAGAGCTAGGGGAGGAGAAGCAGCAGCACGCTGGTCTTCCCAGTGAATGGCTTTGCAGGGGGTCAGCACAAGTCTGATTATTGGAGGAGAGCACACTGAGTTCTCAGCACAGCTAGTGAACTGACCAAGCTGTGTTCTCATGCCTAGGGCGGTCAGTTTTTAACATTAAAGCAGAGGGACTGGCAGGAACACCAGGGATTTCACACAAGGAAGCAATACAAAGAAAACAGGATACTTTGTCATACAAGTACATGATACAACAGGCACGTATCGGGAATATGAAATGTTGGATTTACATATTCTTTAATAGTTACTTTGTTTGTAGCAAACATCTTCTGACATGCACATGCATGTCGGAAGAGGTTTGCTACAAATATAGAAAGTAACTATTGAGGAAGAAATGTTTGGGCGTGCGGTGACTTTGGTATGATTGATATATAGTAAGCCTTCAATTTCTATTTAAAGTGGATGTAAACCTCAGACATGAAATATGAACAAAGCTTATCCCTCCATAGCACAGGTGTCAAACTGGGGGCCCTCCAGCTGTTGCCAAACTACAAGTCCCATGAGGCATTGCAAGATTGACAGGTACAAGCACGACTCCCAAAGGCAGAGGCATGATGGGACTTGTAGTTTCGCAACAGCTGGAGAGCCGCCTTTTTGACACCCCTGACCTATAGTGTGTACTTGTCTCAATCCAGAGCACTAAGCGTCATTTCTGTCTGCTGCTTTGTTCCTCTGCTATCAGCATGAATCACTTCTGACAAGTTATCCTGACAAAAAGAAGAAAATGGTGACAGGAGAGGAAGCTTCAGCAGATTGACAGCTTAAGCTCTGTTCCTGTGAACTGTGTGGAGGGGGGTGTGCCTCTTCCCTCCAATCAGCTCTCAGAGCCCCCCTCACTGACCTCTGCAGTGTGTAACTTCAGCTTCCCACCCTCTATTTTGTTAACTCTCAGACAAGCTTTATAAATTCAGCACTTTGAACAGATGTACAGAAGAGAACACTGCAGATAAACAGGTACAACTTGTGTAGGATGATTTTTTTTCATCTCTGTGTATCACCTGAGGCCAGTCACTTCACTGGGTATATGGAAGGGTTTACAACCACTTTAAATGGAGTCTACTTTAGTTGTGAGGATTAGACAGTCACATACTATGGCAAATATGTGGTGAAATATCATATACCATAAGGTTTCTGTGCCAAATACACATCCCCAACAAAAATGATTGATGCTTGTCTGGTTTGGTTAAAATTTGGCTGAGGAAGTAAAACACGGGAAACATACAGTGACCAAAAAGTAGTTAAAAAATAGAATGCCTATATGTATTATTTATTATGTTGTATCATTGTAATCTGTTACAGAAGGGTTCAAGTTCTGGAAGTTAGAGAGAAATGGGGGTGATAACTGGAAGGTAGAGGTTCTGCCGGGCCAACATGGACAATGGCTTCCAGATGACACAATCACCAAGTACTTTGTAACATCATATGAGTAAGTCTGTGAGGGTTCTCATCCAGATCATGGGGTATGTAGTACTTGTTAGTCATGTGAGTAAGATATTGTTTAACTGCTTTCCCGCCACCCTATAGCAGAAATACTGCTACAGGGCGGCAGGGGTGTGCAAAATCATGTATATATATTTCCGGGTAGGGGGCACCATTGGCGGCCTCACCTGTCGATCACCGGATCCCGGCCGGTGATTCCCTGCCACCACCCAGCGATCACCGAGTATCACCGACGGGGGAGAGACCTGTATGTAAACAATACAGATCTCTCCCCTGTCAGCTCCTGCACACTGCTTTATATGGCTCTGCCATACAAAGCAGTGTGCTTACAGCTGAAAACACACAGCTTACAGTAAAACACTCCCAGCACACGGTTAACCCTTTGATCGGCCCAGATGTTAACCCCTTCCTGCCCAGTGTCATTGTAGCAGAATAAACACATGTAGCAGAATACATTTTGGCCTACATTTATGAAGAAATTTGATTTTTTACATTTTTTTTACTGGATGCTTTATAGCAAAAAGTCAAAACTATTGTTTTTTTTCCCAAAATTGTCAGTCTTTTTTTGTTTATAGTGCAAAAAATTAAAAACGCAAAGGTGATCAAATACCACCGAAAGAAATCTCTATTTGTGGGAAAAAAGGACATAAAGTTAATTTGGGTGCAGCGTTGTATGACCGCGCAATTGTCAGTTAACGCAGCCTGGTTAGGAAGGGGGGAAAATCCTGTGGAGGGCACTTGGATAATATTTCAGAGGGAAGCTTGAGTTGTTATATTATTCATTATGGAAGCACAGGCCTAGAAGATGGTATACATTATTGCATGCATGGAAGCTACCCAAGTACATATTATAGATTGGACATATGCTGGACGATATACTGTCTCTATGCTTGATATGAAGTATTTTGAACCAGACTCTGATGGCTGCTGTTCATTGTAATATGTACAAATATCATGCTGGATTTTGTTATCTGTTGCAAATATCTTTTTAACTATTCCAGTACGTAATAAATGCATCTCTCAGGATGAGCCAAGTTGCTGAGGAAAAATTCATTTTTTGGATAGAGGAGTTTTGCTTTCCATAACAGCTAGCGAACTCTTGCCTCAACAACAATATTTATAATTATCACTCCTCATTCATGATATATGACAACAGTCTAGTCAGGGCTGAACTAACTAGCACTGAAAAAGGAGGGGAGGACAGAGGGAGAAACCAAAATCACATGGTAAACAAGTGGTGACCCAACACCTCCACTAGATGTCAGAATACTACAGAACAATTACAATCAGATGCTGTTCAATACAAAACAAGAAATACATGTAAGTTGGACAGAAGAGCCAGTTTAATGCTTTCAGACAGCAAGTTTTTCCATGTGGTATTGATATGATGGAAGAAGGTGCTATAGGCTGTCTGTTTCTGAGTGAATGCACTTTTTTTTTGTTCCTTTTATTAACACAGTGGAACATTGGTACCTTATAGTGGAAGCCAGGAAAGCTGTACGGCATGCCTGGGGTAACTGTTGTTGGTTTTCCTTAGGATATGTCTGAAGTCTCAGCTTATAGACCTCAGGAAGATGGGATATAGTAAGGAATTGATGGACCGGGACCAGCCAGATATCGTCATCAGAGATTGGTGAGCAACAAGGTTTTTCAAAACATATAATGAATTAAATAAAAAGCTGCATGGAAGTGAACTGCATATACATTCACAAATCTGTCTATGAACATTGAGATCTTGAAACTGACCTGCTGGTTATAGTAACCATTGTGTGCCCTCCTCCTGATATTTTATATACAATATTCACCTGTGAATGCTATTGAAAGCATGCAGGAGCCTTTAGGTCAGTGGGGGGGAGGGGTCATTTTGAAAATTATGAAGGACTGACACTTCCAGAGGGCCACACAATAATAGCAGCACATTTACGCACCTCAATGGCCAAAAATTTGAGGCCTGCTGCATTTTTTGCAGCATATTGCAATGTGCACTGAAGAAGTTGGAGAACAATAACCCCCAGCATTGGTGTCAGTGAGTGCAATAATAACCCCCAGCATTGGTGTCAGTGAGGGCGATAATAACCCCCAGCATTGGTGTCAGTGAGTGCGATAATAACCCCCAGCATTGGTGTCAGTGAGGGAGATAATAACCTACAGCATTGTTGTCAGTGAGTGCAATAATAACCCCCAGCATTGGTGTCAGTGAGGGAGATAATAACCTACAGCATTGTTGTCAGTGAGTGCAATAATAACCCCCAGCATTGGTGTCAGTGAGTGCAATAATAACCCCCAGCATTGGTGTCAGTGAGTGCGATAATAACCCCCAGCATTGGTGTCAGTGAGTGCGATAATAACCCCCAGCATTGGTGTCAGTGAGTGCGATAATAACCCCCAGCATTGGTGTCAGTGAGGGAGATAATAACCCCCAGCATTGGTGTCAGTGAGTGCAATAATAACCCCCAGCATTGAAGTCAGTGAGGGCGATAATAACCCCCAGCATTGGTGTCAGTGAGGGCGATAATAACCCCCAGCATTGGTGTCAGTGAGGGCGATAATAACCCCCAGCATTGGTGTCAGTGAGGGCGATAATAACCCCCAGCATTGGTGTCAGTGAGGGCGATAATAACCCCCAGCATTGGTGTCAGTGAGGGCGATAATAACCCCCAGCATTGGTGTCAGTGAGGGCGATAATAACCCCCAGCATTGGTGTCAGTGAGGGCGATATTAACCCCCAGCATTGGTGTCAGTGAGGGCGATAATAACCCTCAGCATTGGTGTCAGTGAGTGCAATAATAACCCCCAGCATTGGTGTCAGTGAATGCAATAATAACCCCCAGCATTGGTGTCAGTAAGGGCGATAATAACCCCCAGCATTGGTGTCAGTGAGGGCGATAATAACCCCCAGCATTGGTGTCAGTGAGGGCGATAATAACCCCCAGCATTGGTGTCAGTGAGGGCGATAATAACCCCCAGCATTGGTGTCAGTGAGGGCGATAATAACCCCCAGCATTGGTGTCAGTGAGGGTGATAATAACCCCCAGCATTGATGTCAGTGAGTGCAATATTAACCCCCAGCATTGGTGTCAGTGAGTGCAATATTAACCCCCAGCATTGATGTCAGTGAGTGCAATATTAACCCCCAGCATTGGTGACAGTGAGTGCAATATTAAAGTGATAACAAAGGCAATTGCAAACAAACATGCCATACTTACTTGCTCTGTGTAGTGTACCTCCTCTGCTAGGGTCCCCCACTGGTACTCCTGACCCTTCCCTCCTGCCGAGTGTCCCCAGATCAAGCAGCTTGCTATGGGGCACCCAAGCAAGCCCGCTCCTGAGCAACTGCTCTGCATGTCAATTCACACAAAGAGTATTTCCATTCACACACTCGGCCCGCACCCTCTGTCTCTTAATTGGCTCACTGGCTGTGGCTGACATCAGTAGGAGTCAGTGAGGAGGGAGAGTCCCTAGAGAGCAGAGGAGTTTATGCACATTGCTGGATCGCTGGTAAATATTAGAGGGGCTGGAGGGCTGTTGCACACAGAATGTTTTTTACCTTCATGCATTCTATGCTTGAGCTTTTACAACCACTTTAACCCCCAGCATTGGTGTCAGTGAGTGCAATAATAACCCCCAGCATTGGTGTCAGTGAGTGCAATACTATCCCCCAATATTAGTGTCAGTGAGTGCAATAATAACCCCCAGCATTGGTGTCAGTGAGTGCAATAATAACCCCCAATATTAGTGGCAGTGAGTGCAATAATAACCCTTAGCATTGTTGTTATTGAGTGCACTAATAACCCCCACCATCGGTGTCAGTGGACACAGTATTAACCCTCAATATTGATGTCAGTACTATTAACCACCTTCCCAGGATTGTAGTCACTGGCACACTGAAGAAGTTGGAGTACAATAACACTCAGTATTGGTGTCAGAGCAATAATAGCCCCCAGCATTGGTGACAGTGAGTGCAATAATAATCCCCAGCATTGGTGTCAGTGAATACAATAATAATCCCCAGCATTGGTGTCAGTGAGTCCAATCATAACTCCCAACACTGGTGTTACTGCATGCAATAATAACCACCAGCACTGGTGTCAGTGGATGCCATAATAACCCCCAGCACTGATGTCAGTGGATGCAATTATAACCCCCAACACTGGTGTTACTGGATGCAATAATAACCCCCAACACTGGTGTCAGTGGATGCAATTATAATTCCCAACACTGGTGTCAGTGGATGCAATTATAACCCCCAACACTGGTGTCAGTGGACACAATAATAGCCCCCAACATTTGTGTTAGTGTAACAATTACCCCCAGCTTTGGTGTTACCGAGTATAATAATAGCCCTCAACATTGGTGTCAGTACTATAATATCCTCTCCAAGTTGGTGGTCACTGGCAGTAAAATTTACCCACCCCCCCACATTTTTGCTCAGTGGCAGTGAAATATAACCTTCCCACCCCTCCTACACTATTGTTCAGTGGCAATGAAAAGTAAACCCTGCACCCCCCCCTCCTCCACTCTCCCTGAATTGTTGGTCAGTGGCAATAAAGTTAACTCTCATACCCCCTGCATTGGTGGTCATGGCAGAGAAAGTCAACCTGCATCCCCCCTTCCTGCATAGGTGGTCATGGCAGAGAAAGTCAACCCGCATCCCTCCTTCCTGCATTGGTGGTCATGGCAGAGAAAGTCAACCCGCATCCCCCCTTCCTGCATTGGTGGTCATGGCAGAGAAAGTCAACCCGCATCCCCCCTTCCTGCATTGGTTGTCATGGCAGAGAAAGTCAACCCGCATCCCTCCTTCCTGCATTGGTGGTCATGGCAGATAAAGTCAACCCACATCCCCCCTTCCAGCATTGGTGGTCATGGCAGATAAAGTCAACCCTCATCCCCCCTTCATGCATTGGTGGTCTTGGCATTGAAAGTTAGCCTCCTCATTCCCCCCTTCATATTGGTGGTTATGTTAAGTGTACTCTAAGCTGAACATAAATCTTACAAGCCATTGTCATATTTGTCTCTTTATGTCCAACTGCCATTGATTGGCAGAGGATAGTGGGGGTACAGGTGATGATCAGATTAGTCTATGTCTATGACCACACCAAAGTCATAGCAGAAGCTCTTCTTTATGAAATCTTTTATGTCATTATTTCCTTTGGATGTCCATACAGGTTTGCAGCTAGGGCAGATTGTGGCTGCGAGTACAAAATAGAGGTGCATCTGTTGTCTAAAGACAAGAAGGTTCTCTGTGAATTTTCCCCGGAACCGGTAGTTATACCGCAGTGGAGCGATGCCCTGTGGCAAGAGGTAGGAAGTGACTGCATGTGATTTTGTTGCATACATAACCGCTGGCTCGTAGCCCAGATACACCCTAAATTTACAGCGGTACAAATGATATGGAAATACTTTTTTGCTAAAAATTCTGGTAAGTTTCATGTGCAGTAAAACATTAACTGCTGGTCTAGTGGTTATGTACAAATACTTATCACTGATTGTGTAAAGAAACTCTGTAAGATTGTGCAGTAAAATCCATTATTTTTCTCTTCCATTACTGCCTGTTAGCTGCTCCCTCTGCTAGAAGCCCAATTTGTGGGCGTTCCATAGCACAAGCAGAACTCCCACCACTTCTTCTGTGGCCACACATATTGGGCTCATCTGACATCATTAGCACTGATGTGTGTACAACCACGCTGGACCTGTGTTTGGTTAGGTGATCCTAGTATAGATGTGTGCATGTGAAAGCCTCAGTCATACACATCCATACTAGGATCGGCTAAGGCAAGCGTTGGTTTCAGGCTAAAATGTTCATTAGTCACGGGGTGAGTTTTTCTGACGCTGGCATCTCTACCATCCAATGCCAATGGCGTTCTACACGTCATCTTGGATCGGCTCCACTGAGTACTTATGGCCTTATTGTGTTTGGTTAGGTATCCAGTGGAGGACAGAGATGATTGGTCCTTCAAAGGTTTCCATGGCTGATGGGTTTATGGTGTTGGTGAGTCTGGTTTAGGTCTCTGGCTGCTGCCTCTCTAAAAGTGACTGAGAGATGTTCTGGGGGATGATCTAGAAAAGGTTCAGAAGAGTGGCCAATGTAGAAGTGATTCCAACACACTATTTCCAACGTACCCGTTCCTTCCTGAAGAAATGGCTGTGTGTGTGCTGCAGTGATCACAGGCAGGAACCATAGATAGTCGGAGCAAAAGAACATCATCAGCACACCATGGATATCCAGAATGGGTCCAAAGCTTCAGCAATCACATTGTTAAAGCAGCAGCAACATTTCGGAGCCTCACAGGACCTGTATGAGGCATGTGACAAAGTGTATTACAGAAAATAAACTATTTTAAAGAACCATCCACCAATCAGTGAACAGAAAATGAGCTCATTATGATGTCGGAGACAAGCGCTGTCAGTCAGCACTATTTAATTATTGGTATCCCACAGAAAAGTGTGGTGACAGTAGTGGAGGGAATAGGCACACTGTTGGCCACACTAGGTTTGGATCCACCATACCTGTCCATCATCCTTTCAAAACAGAAAGTTCTACATGGGAGGGACAGGATAAAAAAATGTGTGTGGTGAGACTTCTACTTTAGGTTGACTATAAGCAGGGGTGTGGATAAGGGGGGCCTCTGCACGGGTCCCAGGCCAGCAGGGGGGCCCATGCAGATGGGTAAATCGGATGTGGGCAGGGATTGTGATCAGTTTGTGGGGGAAAGGGTCAGTTATTGGAACCAATCCCCTGTATGGCTCTCTCTGCAGCAGCTGAGAGAGCCATACAGGGGTTCGGTTCCAGTAATTGCCCATCCCCTTGTACCCATCACTCTCCTTGTGCACCATATGTTTCCCCCTGCTGCCTAGGCCCCCCTGTGTGCCTCCACCCCTGCAGTGCTGCCGGCTTCCCTCTTCTCCTTCCCACTGGCAGCTGGAAGCACACAATCGGATCCTGCACGATGTAGAGTGCAGGAAGGGTCTGGTAAATATGTCACATTTACCAGTCCTTTCTTTCCTGAATGAACATGAGTACATGGTACAGATCAATCACTGTGTTCATTCATAACTGAAGCATAGTAAACTAGTCTTTTTTTTGGGGGGGGGGTCTGTCAGGTTGGCTGTATGGGGCCCCGTGGTTTCTAACAGCAGCCCTGACTATAAGTCTAAGAGACTGCAGACAAGGGATACCAGGAAAGAGAGGAGATAGTGCCATGTTATTGAGAAAAAGGGAATATCAACTTACAATATTTTATCAACATAAAACAAAAAAATACCCAAGCACAATCCACTCCTATAAGTGAAAACTCAAAAATACAGAAATAACCTGTACCGCTGCTGACACTGATGTGTTCCCACAAGATGGATAATATGAAAATTGTATAAACTGGGGCCGTGCAGAAATAATATATCAGGTGAACGTGTACAAATATATAGAACAGTATCATATGTTCACTGCTATAATAACTAAAATAAAAGAATAACCTGAAAAACAAAGTGTCTGTGAATTTTCCTTACAAAACTTCCTGGAATCAATCAAAAAAAATTTTGTGGACTAAAGGACAATACACGGGAACTTTGTTTTTTCATATCATTCTTCTTTTTTAGGTATTATAGCAGTGAACATATGATTCTGTCCTATATATTTGCATACATTAACATGGCATATCATTTTTGAGCATTGCACTGCACTAATTTATTTTTTTTTTTTTATATTTTATTTTTGCTTGAAAAATTTATTTTTACATTTTTAAAAAAAGCTTGTTTTTAGCACTGATCATAATAAAAAAATCCTGAGTCGCTGAATACAGAAATCATTGTTAGATGGGCCAGTTAGACATCCCAACAAGTCTTGAGACAATGTACATCTGTATGTATGAATGTGAGTATCTATATAAAACATGCTTCATACATGTACGGTGTCTCCTTCCTCCCCAGATAACCACCCACACATTTCGGGACTACGGACCAGGAGTGCGCTATATATACTTCAGTCACGGCGGGAAGGACACGCAGTGGTGGGCTGGCTGGTACGGGGTGCGTGTCACCAATACCAGTGTCACCATAGAACCAGAGGACCTGAGAGTGCAGTCTGTGACACCCCACACACTCCAGTACTGTATAGATTAAAAAGAAATCAAAGTACTGAATCAAAATGCAGAATTTAAGGCTGAACACTAGGCAAACAGCTAAATAAACAGATGAAATACATCAAAAGTGTGTGTGGGGGGGGGAGGGATTAGGAGACCTGATTTTTATCTGCTACCATTCAGTAACATTTTACAAGTCTTGTCCCTGCCCTAGCCTGTTAATGGACAGTGAAAGAAAAAGCAGCAGACTGAGCTCATATCCCTGTTACTCTGCTTTCTCCTCCTATCAGCATGCCTGTTAGCGCATGAGCCCTGCAGTGCAACTGATTGATTCTTTGTGCTGCTTCTCCCTTTCCCAGTTTGAGCTCTGCTGTATATGAACCGCAAGAAGCTGATACCAAATCAAATTAAGGTATTTACACTGTTTGATTTAAAAAATGCATGTATTAATGAACACAGAGTCTGATTATTTTTTTGTATTTAATTTCTGCCTGGAGGTCAGCTTTGAAACAATTGTATTTATTTATTTATTTTTAGTTGTTTTTTATTGCTGTCTGTCCCCACTGGGGTGATTCACTCTATCTGTCCTGGTGACCAGGGACAGAATGTGAGGAGAAAAAAAAATGTTAGATTGTCACGACAAAATGAGGTGAGGGGAAATCCTCCAATGTGGAAACCTGTTCCAGTGAAAACTTTCTGAGAGGGGATTTTCCATAACTTTACGCCTTGTTCACATGGGTGAACTTAAAGTGGAACTGCACTGCATCTGAGCACCACAAACCAAAAACACCATTTAATTCATTTTTAATATTCAAAGCTAACCCACCCATTCATCCATGTCTTCATTTTGCTGGGAAATCACTTTGAAAAACACCCCCCTAGCATTTTTGGCAGTGGCCATCTTGAGTAAGGGCAGATGATTCATGTAGCATTTACTTCCTGGAATCCATCTGCTCTTAGTTCAGGCGTGCAGGCGGGAGGGTGTGCTTAGCTGAGAAAACCCCTCCCAGCCCCTTTGAAGAGCCCTGGGATGTATGACATCATTTGCCTAGGCATGAAGCCAGGAATTAACTGAAGAAATGTTAAAGGAAAGGATAAAACAAGTAAAAATGGCTTTAAGTACCATCTCTATGCTGATGACACACAAATCTATCTTTCTACTCCTCACCTCACCCCTTCAGTCTCCTCTCGCATTACTAACCTACTAAGTGACATATCGGCATGGATGTCGCTCCACTTCCCCAAACTCAATCTTTCCAAAACTGAGCTCTTAGTATTCCCTCCAGCCTGTGCCCCCTCTCCTGACTTCTCCATCAAGACCAATAATACAATCATCAGTCCCTCCCCTCATGCCAGGGTACTCGATGTAATCCTAGACTCCCATCTGTCTTTTCAGCCCCAAATCCAATCACTGTCCAAATCTTGTAGACTTCACCTCCGCAACATCTCCAAGATACAACCGTTCCTAACCTCTGAAACCACTAAGCAACTTATTCACTCCCTTAGTATATCACGCCTTGACTATTGTAACTCCCTCCTCATTGGCCTACCTCACCGCAGGCTATCCCCTCTTCAGTCTATCATGAATGCTGCTGCCAGACTCATCCACCTTACTAACCGTTCCATATCTGCCAATCCACTGGCTTCCCATTGCCCAACGGATAAAATTCAAAACCTTAATAATCACATATAAAGCCATTTATAACTCTGCCCCAAATAACATCACCAATCTTGTCTCCAAATATCACCCAAACTGTACTCTCCGCTCCTCGCATAACCTCCTACTCTCTAGCTCCCTTGTCTCCTCCTCCCATGCTCATCTCCAGGACTTCTCCAGAGCCTCCCCCATCCTCTGGAATGCTTTACCCCAATTTATCAGACTATCGCCTAGTCTGCTCACTTTTAGGCGATCTCTGAAAACCTCTCTCTTCAGGGAAGCCTATCCTGCCCTCAGCTAATAATGGAATCTTCTACACCTCCAACCAGTCCATCCCCCACAGTTATTACCTTTTGTACCACCAGCCCCTCCCTCTTAGATTGTAAGCTCCAAGGAGCAGGGCCACCCTAACCCTCTTGTATTGAACTGTATTGTTGCTGTATTGTCTCCCGCTATATTGTAAAGTGCAAACTGTTGGCACTATATAAATCCTGTATAATAATAATAAAAAAATAATATACCGTCTTATCTATTTACTAATGCTAGCAGCAGAAGGATTTAAAGTAGTCAATGTTGCCTGAGAGAGTGAAGTTTTGCTTTAAGCATACGCTCATGCAAGGGCCATGTTTTCCTGCATGGGTATGCAAGGTGTTCCTGTATCCCCGTGCAGGCGGTCCCACTCATGTCAATTGGAAGGCAGCGCCTGCATGGACACAGCTCTTGCTCCCAATTTGACAGCCATGCAAGTGTACAGACATTGTGTGTTTGGGACCATGCACCCATACCCACATAGCTGTCATTGGGTGCAGCAGTCATGGCTTTTCAGCCACTGTGCCCCAATTCACATGAATGGGAATGCCTGCAAGGGGATACATGAACACCTGTGCATCCCTGTGCAGTAAAACACGGCTCTTACACAGGTGTGCACTTAAGTAATCCTGTGTGAATGAAGCTTTCCAGTTGTATCTTGGGAATAGCATATAGTAGGCTATTCTCTTCAACAGAACACAGCAAAAAAAAAAACAAACAGCAATTTTAACCATTCCCTGCTCAATTTAAAATTAAAAAAATGTTTTCGATTTATTTAAATATACTTTAACCTCCCTGGCGGTCTGATTATGTCAGTATTTCTGTGCTCAAAGCGGTACATTTTTTTGCATGGAAATATGTCGTTTTTTTATTATAGGCCTGTAATTCTTAGGAATAACTCACTAAAATCTGTCCGAACAACAGTCTAGTAAACATCCCGGGTATGATAAAATTTGAAACACGAAATCATAACATAATAAATAATCATAAAAAATAATATCATAATAATAATACATTTAATTCAATAATATAATCAAACCAAAAACACTGAAATTTGAAATAGAGCTCCAAGTTCGCACATCACTGAGCAAAGTCGCAAAATCGTTTTCAGTGTCTGATGACGAATTTCCCCACAAATCATTATCACTCAATTCTGCAAGTGGTTCTGATTTCCTATCGCTGTTCTCTAGCTGGTCTAAAACCGCTTTTGACCTAAAGGGACGCTTTTTGGACACCATGGACGTTTTCTCAGTTTCCAGGCAGAAAGAACAGTAAAAATGCAGGCAGGGAGCAGGACAAAGCACTCGGGACAAAATGTATGTGAAATGGTTTGATACAGTAATGTTTTACTATGAGATTTTAGCGTATTGAGTGAATGTCACTTTTAACATTTTTTAATTTCCTGCTGGTTCCGTCCCCGTACGTCCCGACGCTCACAGGGAACGGAACCTGGAAGATGGATGCCGGCATCGGCTGGAGGGGATGGCCAGGAACACTGCAGGGGGGACATCGCGGGAGCGCAGGACAAGGTAAGTGATTGAGGGAATCCCTGAGCAATGCTGCAGGGTAATCACGAGTGTAGCTCAGGGTTACCGCTTCTGGTACTGAACGTTAACCCCGAGCTACACTAGGGAATACCGCCAGGGGGGTTAAGGGGTCTGTTTATAAAAGGTTTGTCAGACAAATGTCAAACACATTGGTGAATGCAGTACAGATTCCGGGTTCAATTTCTCGAAGAGTAATCCCTATGGACATTAACCCCATCTACAGTCCAAAATTATTATTATTATTATACAGGATTTATATGGCGCCAACAGTTTGCTCAGCACTTTACAATATAAAGGGAGACAATACAGCAACAATACAGTTCAATACAAGAGGGTTAGGAGGGGCCTTTTTATGTGATAGACCAACACAAAGTGGCACATAATTGTGAAGTGGAAGAAAAATGATAAATGGTTTTCAAAATTTTTTACAAATAAATCTGTGAAAAGTGTGGCGGCATTTGTATTCAGCCCCCCGGAGTCAATACTTTGTAGGACCCCCTTTCACTACAATTACAGCTGCAAGTCTTTTTGGGGATGTCTCTACCAGCTTTGCACATCTAGAGAGGGACATTTGTGCCCGTTCTTCTTTGCACAGTAGCTCAAGCTCTGTCAGATTGGATGGAGAGCGTCTGTGAACAGCAATTTTCAAGTCTTGCTACAGATTCTCAATTGGATTTAGGTCTGGACTGTGACTGGGCCATTCTAACACATGAATATGCTTTGATCTAAACCATCCCATTGTAACTCTGGCTGGATGTTTACTGTTGTCCTGCTGGAAGTATTCTGCAGACTCTAAGGGGTTTATTTACTAAAGCTGGAGAGTGCAAAATCAGGCTCACTTCTGCATAGAAACCAATCAGCTTCTAACCTCAGCTTGTTTAATTAAGCTTTGACAATAAAACCTGGAAGCTGATTGGCTTCTATGCAGAAGTGAGCCTGATTTTTCACTCTCCAGCTTTGGTAAATGAACCCCTAACAGTCATTCTTCTAAGATTGCCCTGTATTTGGCTCCATCCATCTTCCCATCAAGTCTGACCAGCTTCCCTGTCCCTGCTGAAGAAAAGAATCCCTACAATATGATGCTGTCAATATGAGACAATACAGCAACAATACAGTTCAATACAAGAGGGATAGGAGGGCCCTGCTCCTTTGAGCTTACAAAATGCAGTATGTTTTCTCATTGAGCTATTTTAGAAAACTATACCGCTTGTGGGGCACTAGATGGTGGTGATGATAATATAAATTATTCCGTAAGAGAAATTACGGCCAGAATTCATGCAGCATGCACAGAGGTGTGTGACATCCGTCCACGCTTGCAAAAGGGATAAGCATTTTTTGTGTATTTCTAGAATGTGTAAATGCGAACCCAGCTTTAGATTGTAAGCTTTCATGAGCAAGGCCCTCCTAATTCTCTTAGACTGAATTGTATTATTCTCTACCATCCTCCATTTTGTAAAGCACTGCCCTCCAAAAATCCTGTATAATAATAATAATTTCATAATGTTGTACATATAATACATCTGCATA